AAAAATAGCACACCTAATTGAATTATAACATCGATGTAAACAAATCTATTGTGACGGCAACTTGATTGCAATCATTGTTGTTACCACTGTAGCTGTATTTTGATTAATAGTCGCAATTCTTACTTAGTATTTTCATCCTATCTAACTTACTATCATGGTACGTGAAACTAGCACAGCTAGTGCCGGTAAATCAGTTAGGCGCTTTACATTCACGCCCACATCGGGCAAAAGCCCATCCAAGCGAATTACAATAGGTAAATAAAGAAAAGAGCCAATCCATTAACAAAGATCTGACAGCGGTTATTATATAGCTGCAAAAGCGAAACAGCCAGCAAAAAGAAGACGCTATCGGCCATTTACTCTGGCCCTTCGTGAGATTCGTCAATACCAGAAAAGTACAGATCTGCTTATTCGCAAAGCACCGTTTGCTAGATTAGTAAGTTGAACGGTGATGTGGCGCATTTATGTACGCGTTAATAACGCAACACAACACAACCATCCACACTAGGTGAGACAGGTGGCGTTGGACTTCACCGTCAATAACTTTATATCGTCAGTTAATGGCTCGGAGGCCGGCTTACGCTGGAGACCAGAAGCGATAGAAGCATTGCAAGAAGCATCTGAAGCGTTTTTGGTTCATTTATTTGAAGATGCGTAAGTCATAGTTAGTCAACAGTATTAATGTAAATAACAATCAATCCATACTGCTATAGAAACCTTTGTGCAATCCATGCTAAAAGAGTAACTCTAATGGCCAAGGATATTCAGTTGGCTCGACGTATTCGAGGTGGATCCCATCCAATCTAATACTGGTCATTATTCAGTAGATTCAGTTTTACGTGGCTTTAACACGTATTAAGCGTGGTTTTTTGATCAAGAATATGGACTTTTATAAACAATTTATTTTCATTATACATCTGTTATTGGTTGATATGCACGCTGTTTGAGTGTATTCACTTCTTTATACAAATGATCTGCCATTTCCTTTCGACCATGACGACGATAGAGATCTAGATTAATAATAAGAATAATGTTTATATTAATTGTACAATAATTTCAATTATATAATTATATTATCGCTTACCGGCCAATCGACCTCCTACAACTATGGCCAAGAAGTGATCATTTATTTCTCGCGCTAGATGATAGGCAGTATCGAGCATGATCTCACATTGTTCATCCGCCACAGAATAGTATATTTCGGCAAGTCGAGCCAGTATGAATCGGTGCAGTTGACCGTTTTCTGCTCTATTGGCCAGCCGTAGTGCATTTGATAATCGTTGTCTGTACATACAATTAAATTAGTCTATTTTAATCAAATCTTTTTTTACTTTACTTTTTCTCTTGACGAGATAGATTCTGAAAGCTAGCAAGTAAATTGGCTGCCATATCTTGAACTAATGTTAACGATGAAGCATCTAAATCTAATCTCGATTCAACTTCATCGGTATCTTCTTTCTCTAGCTCTAACGTAGAAAGGCCAATTGTAGCAGTAATAGCATGATGATCATGTTGCATCTTTGGCCATTTTTGTATGAAATAATGGCTTATTATTAATTATTTAACAACATAAAATTTACTTACCAGTATTTTGTAGCATTTTTTGGCTTCGGCTGATTGACCAGATAGTTGCATTATCCATGCGTGCCGTAATACCAAGTCTTCAATAAACAATGTCCAAATGTTCCGAGAACGACACCAGAGTGTCACAGCCTCCCAAGCCTGTTATAACGTGCTTAGAGCCTTTGTATTTTTTTGTTTAGATTACATTTACGTACAATACTGGCCTGCTCGATGTCATTACTTGCTAAATACGTATCCACCAACAATAGCCAATATCGTGCTCTCATCTGATCATACCATGCCACAGATTGACGCATACTTGTAGCATTGGAATCTAGTTATTATACAGTTATACATGTTATATCCACATTGTAAATAAGCTCATACCTTGAATACCATTTGACATAACTGCACATTGGCAAAGATTAGAAATACATCAATACATATAGCATACTGTGCATACTTATTAATTGCTTGATTCCATCTAATGTTAGCTCCCGAGTGGTCACTGTACTCATTTGTCTGTGGTAGACAGTTGCAAACAAGTAGATGCTGATTGACGCTATCTGTCGTCTAGATAACCATTGTATACGCACATGCTGCATTACGTCCTAGCCATTAAAAAATTAGCTAGAATATAGTATATATTACACGTACTTACCTCATTAGATATCATATAATTGGTATATTTATTCTGTCCTGTCAGCTCAGTGTCCACTAATGTCCACCAGCTAAGAATATCTTGAAGCTGATGGAAAGAAGTGAATGCAGACTGTGTATTGCCATAATGTAAACCATTTAATACATGCAATAAATGGTAACGCGCATGGAGTATGGACGTTCCAACATTAGGCCGGGCCACCTGTACGTCATTTGATAGCTCGAGGTATACATCTACATATTGCCAGCCTGCTAAACAGTTTTCAGCGCCAAGAAGCGATTGTTTTACAGTTGATGAATCGTTAGCTAGTAAGGCATATTGTGCCCTTAGCAATAAGAAACAAATCTGTTTATGATAAACGTTAGCTATTGGCTATTATTCAACGCGTATCGTTTACTTGAACATCCTCATGTTTATTTTCCCGTGCATACTCAATTGTATCCAAAAGAATAGCAAGTTGGGCTGTAAACGTTGGCTTATTTCTGGCTAGCATATCACTGCGTAATAATTTCAGTTGTTGCATAATAAAATGATAATACCAGCCGTGTAGCTTTAAGCTATAATAGATTGTCAGTACCTCAGTTAATTGCACTCAGCAACACTTGCCGTTCTGCTTCGTTTTGCGCATCTTTAAGCGACGCTCTGGCTACTCGAAACTGGCCCATACGTATTTGAATTTGAATTTGAATTTCATACGCGCCCATACGAATACTCTTCATGCCTAATGTCTATATCCAGCGTTCAACGACCTATCACATTTGCATTTTCATCGGTCTACTTACACGTTGAGTAAGATGAATCTATTGTAAAGCGTTAGTATGACTGACAAATGATTATATCGGTATATTACCACTTTTCTAGCCTGTGTGATTGCTTCATTATCGTTGTCAGTATGCTCTAGAAGAACCCGTGCAAGCATGTATCTTGTTTTAGCCTCAACTCCAATGGAAAGTCCACTATCAAGAGGCGAATTACAAAGCGACGGTATAGTCTGAATAGAGGCTAATTGTTGCTGTTGTTTAACCGGCCCATTGGCCGTTGTCTTGTGGTCAGTACTGTTTACAAGTACCGCTCTAAAAAGCGCAATGGCCGCTATAATGTCCCGTCTATACTCATTAAGGGCCGATTCGCCATGAGTGACTAGAAAAGGAGCAAGCTGCTTAGCGTGATCCAAACACCCGTTAGCCAGCTGCCAAAGTGTTTTGTGCGGTGCTGGTAACGCCATAGTTGCTTTACTATTCGTTACCAGCAGTAAATAAAAAACAGAATTAAAATTTACTTAAAATATTATAAAAAGTTTGAATTTGAATTTGCTATTTTAGATAGGATAATAAACTTGAACAATAAATTACTTGTTATTTTAACTGCGCCACATTTGCTATTTTACTAACAACATTATTATTACACTTGCCTTTTAGATAAAATAACTTTATTATATGCAAGTACTTTAATACACTGCTTAATACTGATAAACATGCTCTATGATAATGGGTAGTTCTAGTGTCAACTGGCATCATTATTTAATACGCTCAGCAACACGATATACAATTTACGTCATCACATTCTCCCTCTCTTTTTCTTCACACTTGATAACATATATCACTATATGTTATTTAAATACGCATACTTTCAGCAATTATAAAACGATTCTATAAAAGTTACTATGCATTTATAGCATACATGTCAGAAAATCTTTCATACATCATCATTAAATTGATTATAATAGTTTCTTATTCAACTACTTGATGATAACACTGGCAACTAACAGCAAATTATTATTTTGCATGACTATTGCCGAATAATGAAATTTTATTTCCTGCCCCAAACTATTTGCATTTTGTTCAATTACTATTTTTATAGATATTATGTCGTATAGATTTAAAGGTAGAATATTAATATTATTGACTGTATTCGTGTTGCTATAACTTATTCAAACAATAAAGCATTTTTAGAAGAAATACTAAGCAATATCATATAATCATTATACTTGTATTCTACATTCTATTTACCATGGTAATGCCATTCTATCATATATTCTCATTTTTTCAATTGGACTATATTCATTTATTGTATTGTCTATTAATGTACTGTCCACCGGTTACATACTATTAATAAAAACTGCTCGTTTATCACTAGTTGTATTTAGCGTAAATATAATTTATTAGCTATTATATACCATGATATTATTGTCTTGCTCTCTAGCTAGTATGAAGCTGTAGCATGCAAGGACAAAAATAGAAGTGGATGTGGGTGTGTAATTCTTACGAATAATTAAACTATTACACTTATGCAGGTAAAATAATAAATATAAATTACTATATAAGATAGCGCAATATATAGATACGTTGCGTAGGCTAGTGTTTGTTTTTTAATAAATATAAAAAATGAAAATAAGTATTTGAATGACTATAGCAATACTTGGCTACGTAACACATTAATAGCAATGCAGTCGGCTAATTGATCAATAAATTGTTTAACTATTGCACTATGACAATCGTTACTCCGCCGACAAACACTTCAATGATGTGCAATGGTTAGCACTTCACCTTTAGTTAAAATAAGTGTGAAAGAATATGTAAACAACGCAACGTGTTAACAGTAATAAATTCTATTTGGTACATTACTGATATGTAAAAGTAATACTCAAAAAGATAAAATAGCGTGCTAAAAGTGATATGTGAATTAACGCACATCATTCATGTATAAAATAAAGTAAACACAAGCGTGCTACTTGCTATTACCAAAAAAATAATGCACATTACTGTAGCAAAAAATATGCCATGGCCTGGAATCGAACCAGGGTTAAGACGGCCACAACGTCTTGTGATGCCACTACACTACCATGGCGTGCTACTAGCTATAAAAATTATAGTAAAATTAGTTATTTATACCTATTTTTTTAGAACTACCAAATATACGTTGCTTTTTAACATTGTTTTGTAATGGCGTAACTTCTAGCGTTATTTTATTTATAAAAGTACTTTAATTACTATATATTAAATAATATTTTTTTAGTTTTATAAAAATAAACGTAAATATAAATTTATTTAAATATTTAAAGTAAATAAAGTGTACAACCATTCTAGTTAAACAAAATTTAATTTATTGCAGCTAAAGGAGCTACATGAAGGGATGGGAAAATATTATGCAATAAGGTCTATTAACTGAAAATATATGCATGATAATAATAGATGCATGTCAATAATACAGCAATCATAGCAGTAAGTATAAGTTCATTTTATACACATTTATACTAATATTCATATCAGTATACAGTAACAATTAATATTAGTGCACAGCTAGGGACTATTATTTGGACAGTGCATCCGGTTATATTACATGCAAACAGACTATATATATTACAATATGTTTATTTATAAATGCATAGTTAATAAATGATTATATCATAGAAATATATCTATAATCGTTATTGTATGTTATGTTATAAACACCCAAGTGTAAATAAATATGATATGCTAAAAATAAATTACTGCAGGTATAAATAGCTTATAAATAAATTTAACGTATGGCTTGTGTTTAGATAAATGTAACTGTCAACTGCTAAATGACAAGCTTACTACATATCAATTGTGCTGTTTAAACATATAACTATTATTTAACAGTATAATAAAGTGTTGAAACATGGTTTGTTAGCATTGTTCAACATCTTTTAATAACTATAGCATTGCCGTAAATCAGCAATATTAATTGTTACATACAGATTATTACTATACATGTTGGAGTGCTATTGCTATAAATTGTTTCATTATCCATGCAAATTTTATATGTAGATATCTAACATGGATTGATAAAGGTATATATTTATAATAGTGTTATCAATTCGTTTCATCCATAGGATCATCACCAAAAATCGAAGCGTTAGGATCATCGAACTCAAACAAATCATTAATGGCCTCTATACTACCATTAAGCCCAAAATATGGAACGTAGATAGCTTGCTCTGAATGAGCACCATTTGGACCAGGAGTTGGATCAACAACAATGTAACCAGAGTACACCCAGTGATCTTTATATTCAAGTGTAGCTGGAATATGGAATTCAACGGGTATTTGTACGGACGACATTTTCTGGACTATAACCTGTGTAAAAAGCACTTTTAGACCTGGTTGCGCTTGCGTAGTAACCGGAAATAGAACTTGTGCATGAGTATTAACGGTTTTTGGAGGATCACTGGTTCTGTTGTTTCTCATGTATCCATACATGGAAGGTGCAGGTAAATGAGTAACAAGAAAAGATCTTGGGACGTTGTTTGTGTTTTGAATGGATATTTTCGTTGTTTTTATAAGCTGACCTTGAGGTTTTTTCGGTTCAGCACCAAGTTCAACTACTAAAGGAGATACGCCAAACGAAGTTGAAAAAGCTCTATCGACATGAATTAATCCAGCACCTTGTTGAGCTACTGATCCAGCCAGTAGGCTGCCTGGTATTTTATAAGGTATTGCGGTGCGTTGAAGAATGGCTTTAAAATTTGCTGAATTAATCTTTGGAATGGTGCCAGTCTCTAAAGCCTTGGCGTGTAGATAAAGTGCGGCAGCACCGGCTACATAGGGCGCTGCAAAAGATGTACCGTGTTCAATGGCGTACTTGACACCGTCATGTGCAGTAGTGAACATCATGTCACCCGGCGCCATGATTTCTGGATTCATTGTGAGATCTAACGATGGGCCCCATGTTGTATAAGTAGAACCAAACATTCTTTGAGGGGAAGGGACCTCAATTCTGGAGTGATAAAAGCCAAGAGTAATAGCTATATTGCTTCTACTCATTCTTTCGATAATAGTTGCATATTCGAGATTTATAGAAAGAATAGGAAAGGAACATTGCTTATAATAGGTGTTGCTATTTGGCAATATGACGCCGGCAGCACCAAGTTCTTTCATGTGCGCAATAGTGTGCTCGACATTGCAGCGACCAAATGGTATTAAAACCATTTTCCCTTTTACACTACCAGTAGCTGAACAAACTTGCTGATTTGTTGGTGGGGAAGCAACAGTAGTATCAATCAATTGAATAGATTGTTTATGACTAGTACAAATATCTACATAAGGTATATGATTTATGCCTTGACCAACAACTTCAAAAGTGTTTACGAAACTGTAAGGTATGTTCATCGAACCAACGGACAATACTGGTGAAGAGATAGATGGTATTTGGGAAGTCCACAACATATCCATGCCTTCGCCAATGTTGCCTGCAGCGGCAACTATAAGCATTCCCTTGTCCTTGTATTCTTCTATCAAATCATTTATGGCCCATCCAAATTCACCTGGAGGCACACCAATGGAGAAGTTGACAATGTGCATTTTGTCATTATGCGCTTTCTCAAGAGCCCTTCTTAAAATGCTGAACTCAATAGCCACATCTCCACATCCAAATATACGATAAGCGCCAAGAGTAGCTTTATAAGCTACACCAACAAATGTGGACGTCTGGGCTCCAATAATACCTGCTACTAGTGTGCCATGCCCTTCGCAATCTTTGGGATATATACTTTCAACTGGTGGATGCTCATTGTCATATCTATCGCCGACAAAGTCGTAACCGTGAGCAACTTTACAGGTAGGACAAAATCTACCACCAAGTGCTGGGTGTTCATAATCAACGCCACTATCTATAATGCCTATCCTTATACCTTCTCCAGTTATTTGTTGACTGTGCATCTTGCTTACTCCAGTGGCAGAATGTGGTGACATTGGTTTAATTAGTTCCTTAGTAGGTAAATATTGTAAAAGCGGACCGGAGCCAAGGTTATTAATTTTGTAATTGCTTGAAGAGTCTCTTCGTTGTAAATGCTGGATAGAACGGGAATGTAATCTTCTATTGGTTTGGCTTTCAAAAATGGCTGATACATCTGCTGATGAATCAATTTTGCTATGTTGTACGGTAGTTGCTGTTAAAAGTTGTTCTGTAATGTTTTGTGCTGCATTGGATTGAAACACTAAAGCTAGTAGTGTTAAAATAGCTGCAGGACAATGCATTGTTGTAAAAAACGAGCAATACGCTGGTTTAACTGTATTTATTCAAAGATAATTTTCTAAAGGTTTGAGAAGGAAAAAGAAAAGATGGAACATGTTGAAAACAACTTTTATGGCGACAGCTTAAAACGCCGTTAATCATCCATATTTAGACAAATAATTTAAAACGCAGTATAAAATGGACGGATTAGTATGCAGGTAATAAAATATGACATAACTATTTATCCGCTAATGAGATGTAATTGTAACCAAGAGATATAGAAGACTACTGCAATTACTTAAATTTGAGTAATGTAAAATAGCAAATAAATATTTAGAACTGGATAATGCTTTTTATTAATTATGAAGGCATGTATAATTTTGTATATGCTAATCGGAGCTATTGCGTAAATTTAAATATAAGAAAGTAATAAAAGGCAATAAAGAAATGGGAAATAAACAAAAGTAGAAGAAGAATTAAAAGCAGCAACAGCAACTAAATTTTACTATGAACGATAGTAATTCAACCGCCATTTGGAAAAGCGGAGCTGTGGCTGATGGTTATGGAACGCTCATTTTGTTACAATAAGTCAGATTTTGAATGTATATGGATTATACAAATAAAATTGACATCATAACTGTATCATTTGCCTTTTTTTGTTCTACTAGCCTTTAGTTATCAATAGAAAATAGAAAGTTAATGATTTATTCAGTAAGTTGATTGTTCTACCAAATTAGTGTGATGGATAGCATGCGCGAATTTTGAACAATGAGCTGTGCATTCTATTTTTAAATAAACAAAGATAATAAAGCCAGGCCTTAGCAGCACAGAATAAACACGATATCTCTTTGTTCATGCGTGAAATGTGTGTACTACGCCACGCTGCTTAAATATCCGGCCTTGTCAGCGGTGATGTTAGCGCAGTATCCTTTCATCTGCACTCCTAGCTTCTACAGCAACACATTTTAGCATTTTGCATATCCCATTGTCTGCATTTTCCATTGATAGCCTCTGCCTATTTCCAGTCAATACGCATATTTAAAATGATGGGCCTCAAGAATGTATTCCACGCTTGCATGCTTGCACTTGCTTTCACCAGCTTGACCGTGACAGCTCTCCCAGCCGAAACAACCGAGGACATGACTCCATTCCAGCATGCCTATGTTAGCGCTAAGGCAAATGAATTTGAAGCTTTCTTTTTCATTAGGCCATGGAAGTCGGGTGCGGGTGTAGCCTTTTATGGCGCGATGGGCGGCAAAATTCCTGTTGTCGGTGAATATGCCTATCATGTCCACGAGAATCCGGTACCAGCAAATGGCAACTGCACTGCCACAGGGGGCCATTTTGACCCATACAAGATGAAAGGAGCCCAGTGCACAATGTCAACAATGAACAAGTGCGAGCTAGGCGATATGAGCGGCAAATTTGGCAAAATTAAGTTTGAGAGCACTGAAAAGGTGCAGTTTGAAAACATAGCCTATCTAGATCCCACCATTGCTCTAAGCGATGGCGAACATAGTGTTCTTGGTCGTTCAATCGTTGTTCACGATCCATCTGGTGCTCGTATTGCCTGCGGCAATATTGAAAAAATCCAGATTGACGCTCAAACGAAGTTCCAGAAGAAATAAAAGCGCCATGGAAAGTGCAGGAGTGTATCAATGACGCATTACTTGTGCTGTTTGAATAAATGTATGTAGTAAAATATTTTAAATTTTATGCACAATCGAATTTTGTTAATGTTAATGTAACATATATATGTGTGTAAATGTTATTACATTGCACTATATGTATAGTGTGTAATAATACGCGCTCTCTATCTATATATTACATTGTAATATACATAATTATAAATCTTCATGTCTAATATCGTT